TGCTGGTATCTGTGCGAGTGATCTTGTTTTATTTTACTGTAGTACCATAAGATCGGTTTTAGAATACGCATGTCAAGTATTTCACTCCAGCCTTCCGTTTTATTTATCCGAAGAGCTGGAACGTATTCAGAAGCGCGCCTTGCGCATTATCTTTCCTTATGCAAGCTACAACAGCGCGCTCAAAGAGGCAGGCATCTCCTCTCTTTACGACAGGAGAGCATCTCTATCGTTTGATCTTTTTAACGACATTGTTCTTGACATTAATGACAAGCTCGCAGGTCTGCTCCCACCTAAAGCTGAGCACCACAGGCAGCTGCGCAGTAATAGGAAGTTTAACGTGCCAGTGTGCAAGACTGATCGTTTTATAAAATCCTTTATTGTTAGCCATAGCCTAAGGATGTAAATTTATATGTTTAAGTATGCATATTTTTTTAACACAAGATCATCCTAAGTGAAACTTTTTTATTAGATTTGTATGTTTTTATTATTACGATTTTCAAACCATTTTAACTATGAATTTTGTTTCTTGTATTGTATAATATACACGTAATTCAGTCTTCGGACTGCGAGGTGTTTCTTTTTTAATAAACGATTTATCTATCTATCTTCAATTAACGTGTGTTATTATTATATCATTATTATTATCATACAAACATTCGATCTTAAAGTAAAGTAATGTAATGCATTTTGTGTGTTATGAAGCTATCGGGAAATGTGTTGCCCTCAACATTTCAATTTCTTTTTTCGCTTGTGAACATGGCAGGAAAAAGATGGGACGGCGTCACTCACTACATGGATATCTCCTCGACCAAAAATGGGTTCAAAATTGAAACAGTTTCTGAGAGCCTCTTCGGAGTCAAAGTGTTGAGTGAGCTTCACAGGCGCGTACCCACTGATGTTGTAAAGTGAGAAAATAAGCGCCTTACTGGCTTTAAAACGAAAAAAGAAACCTTCGTGATGCATTTAAATCGAATAGATCAGCACTAATAAAGTAAATGTTTAAATGAAAGGTTTTCTTCCGACTTGAATGATGGCAAAAGTCCGAAATTATACAGCTGAAATTATGCATCATCGCTTGCCCGATGTAACAGAATTTCAGTGTTTTGCTTTTTTGAAGCTTCTTTGAAATCTTATTTAATCATAGGAGGAACAAAGATATTGAAAAATAATTAAAAAAAAAGCTACTGTAGTCGGTAGGATATCAACCAGAAATATCAGCTATTTTGAAACTGATCAATATTGGAAACGTCCTTTTTACCACAGGTGGTACTGAGTAATGTCACAATCTGATTGGCCAATTTTCTGTTGTCGATAAGAGTACAGACAACGCTGCTCGCGTCAACGTGTCACACAATACCTTTATCAACTCTCAAACATGGATTAAATGGACATTTTGACATCGATATTGTGATAAATTCTGCGGTAGAGGCTGCACCTCGTGCGTCCATAACACTTTGACTACTGTGCTGACGAACATAATTGTCGAAAAGGGTTCAGACCATGCTAAACCACTGTCGATTTATAAAAGTCATTTCGCCTTTATTGGCCACCCAAATATTTCAATTTCTCGTTGCCATGTTCCCACCAATAACGTAGTTCGATTTTCTGCCTTTAAAAGCACACAAAACCCACAATTCCTCTATTCGCTCCGACGAAGGGCTAACGCTCGAAACGTCAGCTTTTGTAATCGTTACGGTGACCAATTTACCATTTGAACTTTGTTGCTATATCCAAATTATTTCGTTACCCCCACCGACGCAGCTCCAAACAGTTTCTTAAGAAACTATCAGCCTTTATTTACATTTAAGTTTACTTTCAACATTTAACGTTCCAAGGCATATTGGCACATCCACCAAATTTGTCTGAGTTGAATTGGATGACCGTCACTGTGGGTCCTTTCCATCATAGTTCTTGTGAGAAAATTGCTGCAGCCCATCCTTCATTCTTGGCATTCCAGTATCTCAGCCTGGATCCATGAGAATTGGACTCAAATATAATCCAAGATATTTACAATCAATCATTTAGAGAGGGGTGTGTGCCTGACACCTTAAAACAGTCAATTATCTCACCAGTCTGTTAAGTTTGTCCCCATCAAGACATTAAATCAGATTTGAGACCGATTACCCTCGCTAGCTGATTGGGAAAAGTACTGGAAGGGTTTACAAACAAGAAAATTTTAGGACAGTTGTCCGATACTATTGATCCACACGGCATAGGTTACAGTGCATGAATTGATTTATTTAATGCAAGCTATACATGTAGCTATTGATTCAGGAAACTGTTTTGTTCGGAATTTTTTTGCAGATATTACTATAGGATTTGACACCATAGATCACTCAGTATTACTAGATGAGATCCGATCGTTTGATATTGATCAAACCTTATTTTTCCGGACACACTCCTTCCTTACTAACCGAACACAAGCTGTGCGTGTTGGCTCCTCCTTGCTGCCATGGAAACAAGTCAATGGTGGCGTACCACAGGGAACAAAACCTGGATAACGCTCTTTGCTGTTATGATAAACAAGCTGCTTGGGAATCGGCATATGCGTAAAAAGTATGTCGATGACACCACCACATTTGAAATTGTTCTAAGAAACTTTATTAGTATGCTAGATGTAGTTGTCAGAGAAATCCATGATTATTGTATAGAACACAAGATGAAACTAAGTTTTAAAAATGTAAAGAAATGTAGGTCAATTTCATGAAGAATTCGATTACCGCAATGCGACCTATAAGTGTTGATAACCAAGAAGTAGAGCGAGTAAGAACGTATAAGCTTTTAGGAGTTATAATTAGCGATGGCCTTTGATGGAACACTCACGTTGAATATGTAATTGCCAAGGCAGCCAAGAGATTATACGCGCTAAGGTAGTTGAAGCGCACAAGAGTCATGCCAGAAGATCTAGACATGCTCTAGGTTTACACATGTAATGTTAGATCGATCTTAGAGTATCCTTCGCAAGTGTGGCAAGATATCCTTGCATACCTCTCTGACGCTATTTCGAATCTATACATCGAAGAGCTTTAAGAATATTTCCCAACGCTAGTTATCAAAAAGCCCTAGATCAAGCAAATTTGAAATCGTTAGTCGATCGCAGGACACTTATATGTAAAAAAATGATAGCGGATATGAGGAATGAGAGCCACCCTATATCCTTCTTAGCTAAAATAAGAGTGTGAATGAAGAAATTAAAAGGAGAAGAGTCCTTGGGTGAAAGTAAAAAAAGGGAGCCTGGTTGTCAGCGCAAAAAACTAAAGAAATTCGACGTGTAATGGCGAAAGAATCTCACCGAAACAGTAAAGGCTCGTGGTTTAGGTAATCTTCGCTGCTTTCACTCGATTTCCAACCACAGTTTTACTACGGCTTGCTAAGGCCGCTTTTAAGTTGAAAAAAAAAAGAAAGGAGAGTTGGAATCAAAATTGAAACTTGCCGTCCAGCAGAATTGAACTAATGGTCTGTTACGGGTAACTGTAAGATAATTACCTGTGTATTAGATCTAGTTTCCCTCGGTCACGACTAAACACGTCGAATGAAGCCATTGATTATTTTACCAAACGATGTCGATTGTTTCATTCAACTTGCAATTTAAGAAGAGAAGAAAAAAAAATGCAAGAGACGTTTTATCAATTATTTACCTCTCGACCGTTTTTAAAGTGAAGTGGGTTGCATGGTAATGGATGGAAATTCTGGTAAAGATGGATTCGGTACTACCATTTTGGCAAAGCTTGGGCTGGGTTCTTTGCCCACCCCAGAACCTCAATAATACGAGGTTACTCTAGGAGAGTGAAGGGAAACTGAGGTTGCTGAATATCGAGAATTCTTCTTTCGTATAATAAAAAGTGTCAAAATTTAATATTTCCGATGAGAGACTGTAAGCACAAAGTCTTTATTCACTGAACAATCAGTTATGTAATCGAATCAAGTTTTTCATTAGGTCTTACTCAATAGTAATTTAGTGATTACTTACCCTACACTAAGACAGCATTTTAAAGCAAGTAAACATGAGTCAAAATAACTTCAAGTACATCATGCGCGCGATGTAGTCATACTGTAATAAGTGGAAATACAGATTCACATGCATAATTTGACCACCTGCAAATTGATTTAAATGCACATTGAAGTTCTATTTATAAAGGTGTTTATGCTTGTACTGCAAAACGATTACATCAGTGCACTAAATTGTCTGCTAATGAATCTTTTAATGTCATGAACGATGACATTTTCTTTAAGGTAAAACTTCGTAGAATACTTCGATGTTAGTGGGAGAAAACTTAATGGTGCCGGCAAAAAATGGACAGTCCTTATGTGAATATCTTGGGGGAGGGGTGTACCTGCATCCACAGTGGGTGAAGGAGTCATTCTTGTTGACAGCGTCATTCGCGACACGGATATCTGCATAACCGAACGAGGGTCCAAGAGAGGGACAGTTTCTCATAGAGCAGAAACCTCTGTGTTTGTGTTGTGAGAGTTTCACGGGAGCGTATCCATTGATGTTGTGGAGTGAGAAGATAAAGGCCTTACTGGCTAAAACACAACTGCATCTGTTGCCTGCAGCTAAAGCATACACGTTGAATTTAACTCAACTAAGACGGCATTAAAATCTATTATAAGAATTAGGTAAAGGGGTAATCGAAGTTTTTTAATGATCCATTTTTTTTTACTCAAATAATAGTGAAATCGAAATCTCACATGTTGAATTGTACACTATTGTATGCTAAGTGAACGAGTTTCAGTGTAACTGGCTAGACCTGATGTTCACTGTCTCTGTCATTGAGAAAGGTGCCTAAAGGTTGGCTCTGATTATTGGAGAGACAAAAGAGAATTAAAAAATCAATTAGTTGTGGATAGTACGGAAATGCGATAGGATCTTGGAAGCGTCCATGGTAATTTCTAATCGACGGGTGGCTACAAGTATACGTCTAGTGCAGTTTAGTTTGAATACTTACCGTTCCAAGATACATTGGTATATCCACCAAAAATATGAGAATTGACTTGGATGATCGTCACTGTGGGTCCTTTTCCATCACAATTGTTGTGAAATGTCGCTGCAGCCCATCCGTCTGTCTTGGCATGCCAGCATCTCAAAAATACACTGCGGTTTAAATCCATGAGAACAGGACTCAAGTACGATACCAGCACTCCTAGGTACTTGTCACGGTCAAGACCGCTTAGGATACTGGAAGCGTTCAGGGCTGTTTATGAAATCAAATCAGTGACAGTTCTGTTTAAGAACTTCCTCCAACTTCCTCCAACTTGGGGATAAAAACTATAAACAACTATATCAATCCATGAAGATAGATTGAGTTCGCGCCAGTCCAAAACCGTGCAGCCCTTAGTTGTAAATTTTAAGGTTTTGTTTTCACCATTCTTTCTGTTTCAGTCAGGGAATGTTAAGTCTAAGTTAGACAATCCAACTTTGGAAGCTTATCCTTTGCCTTTACTCAATTAAATATCTCCGGCAGTCTGATGTCGTACCGCCTCTTTATAAAATTGTAGGACCATTTTTAATTCAAGCTCATTTAGTTTTGAAATAAATGTCACTGAGGAGATTTTACGAAGATTTGAGAACCCTTTGAAACTTTGGAAAGCGGTTCTTTCGTAAAGAAAGTCATCAGAGCCTCACTGAAGGGCAAATCTTATTCTCGTTGTTTCGACAATACAAAATTATGTTTTAACCAAAAAAAGCAAAACCACAGCGACAGAAAAACTCATTGTCCAAAATCTGCGAGCGCTGAACAACGACCCTCTTTCTCTCACGACCTATTTGAATATATTTAGTAAAATTGAAATAAAAGCGTGCGGTATTGCTCGGCCTTCCCAACGGACAGCGCCACGCCAATCAATAGGCGTTCGTCGGAACATCCACTCCCTCGAACTGGTCTGTGTACTGTTCCTCTTCAGATCTCTAATGGGCACAATTTCGTGATCGGTCGCACGTAGTCTTTACCTCCTGTTCTAACACGCGCAACTCTGACCTTTCCGTCAGGGCCAGAATAAACCTCTTGTATTCGACCCAATGGTCAATACCCTCGTAGATTGCTAGGATCCACCACCAGGACTACATCACCGGATACAAGGCTACGTTTCTCTTCAACCCATTTGTTTCGAGTGTTTAGGGTCCACAGGTATTCCCTCATCACTCTTTTCCAGCACTTCTTGATAAGATCTTGAACGAACCGCCATCGATTTTTGGGATTGAATACAATCTCGTCAGCGACTTTGGGTGCAAGTTGCTCACCCATTTGCCCGTAAAGAAAGTGGTTCGGTGTAAAAACGTTCTCGTCGTCGGGATCGCTGCTACAGAAACTGAGGGGGCAGGAATTTAAGATTCCTTCTACTTCGACCACGGCGGTCAATAGCTCTTCATCCGTAGTCCTGGATTCTCCAAGGATCGCGCGTAAAGCTTTCTTAGCTAACTTGATCAGGGCTTCGAAAATTCCTCCCTGATGCGATCCACCAGGGGCGTTAAATCACCACTGTATTCCCTCATGAGATGCCTGTTCTTTGACCGGAGTTTGATCCAACGTTGAGACTAGCACTCGTAACTCTCTTTCAGCTGACGTGAGGTTCGTGCCATTGTCGCTAATCATCACTTCCAGTTTTCCACGTCTAGCGACCGTTCTGGAAAACGCGTTAAGAAAGCTGGCTGTGTCTATTGAGTAAGCTATTTCTAGATGAACTGCTCTTGAACTGGCACAGGTAAACAGGCATAGATAACGGTTTGCAGTCCCCTTCTTGTCAGCTTAACGACGGAGGGGCCAGCAAAATAGACTCCACAATGACCAAAACATCGCAAGGATGTGCCGAGTCAAGATCTAGGTAGGGATGACATGATTTGTTCTCCTCTGCGTCTTCTTCCAAGTTTGCAGACATTACACTCTTGTTTCCATCGCTTAATTTCTTCTCTCCCATTAACAATCCAGTATTTCTGTCGTAACTCAGCAAGCGTAAAGTTCACTCCGAGGTTATGATGACCTTGATCATGAATGTGGGCGATGACAAGTTTTGAAATGTGATGTTTCTTCGGTGATATGACAGGATGTTTAGCATCGTAAGGGAGGTTGGACATTTCTAGCCTCCCACCCGCACGTAAGATTCCAGCACCGTCCACAAACGGCGACAATCTCCAGAACAGACTGCTTCTCAATACACTCCCTCCTCCTCTTAAGGTTGACAATTCCTCCAAAAAGCGTTCTCTTTGAGTTCTCGAATCCAGTACTTTTCTGCATTCCTGATTTCTTTCGGTTCTAGGACCTTCCCCAGTGGATCGTTTTGCTCGTTTCCGGTTTTCTGGCTTTTCTGAAGTCTTGCTTTTTTACTTTTGAAGATAAATCTCAAGATCCAAGCTGTAACTCCTAAAAATCGGCGCAAGGAAGAAAACCTCTCGATATCAAACAAGGGCAAGCCCTTCTTGCTTTAAAACGTGAGGTTGACCTTTGTCAGCTCTCTTTTACTTCCCTCACTGCAATCATTCGAAAGGGGGCGACTTTCTAAAGGCCAGGATGTCTTCCCCTCGTGTAGGAAGGCAGGTCCCTGGAACCAGCGACTTCCGGCGGATAGGTTTCGTAGATCCAGACCTCTTGTGGCGTCGTCAGCGGGGTTTTGGTCTCCTGGTACGTGTGGCCACACAGCTGGGTCTGATTTCCGTTGAATTTCGGCTACTCGATTAGCAACAAACGATTTCAGTAGTCTTGAGTTGCCCTGGATCCAGTAGATTACATCCATACTGTCCGTCCACAGGGTGTGTTGAATTATTGGAATTTCAAGCTTCTCAGAGACCGTTTCAGCAAGCCGCACTCCGAGTACTGCTGCTATTAACTCAAGGCGTGGGACGCTGACCAGTTTGATCGGTGTTACTCTCGCTTTGGCTGTTACTAGGGCAACTGAGATCTGACCATTCACGTGTCTGTATCTGACGTAGCTTACTGCGGCATATGCTAGTCGCGACGCGTCAAAGAATGTATGAAGCGAAACGTTTTCCACTGCTTCCTCGTGGTGTCGATAGCAACGTGGGATTTTGACCTGTGAAGCTTCGGCAACTGTTCGGCCCATCGGTGAGTGCTCAACTTTAAATCGTCAGGAAACTCTTCGTCCCACTCAACACCTCACAACCAGGCTTCTTTTAAAGCCATCTTAGCCCTGATGATGTATGGTGCCAAGAACTGCAAAAGATCAAACAGTGTAGCAATGCGGCTTAACAGGCCTCGCTTCGTGTAGAAGGACAGGTTGATTCCTTTGACAATAAACGTGAAAACATCTTCACTCACATTCCAGTGGACTCCTAATGTTTTGATACCCGGTAATTCTGATTCGTCAAGCTTTATGCCCGTTGCCTGATCCTCTTGTGGGATTCCTTCTAAAACCTCTGTTCGATTACTACACCACTTTTGGGCATGGAAACCAGCGTCACCCAGAACCTTTATCAAGTCTTCACGGATGAGAACGGCGTCTTTCACAGTTTCTTCTGAGTGTAGGATACCGTCCTTGTACATATCTCGGAGCAAGACTATAGCGGCTGCTGGGTGGTCCTCTTTGAAATCTAGGGCGTGGCTGCGGATCACGAACTGGGCAAGGTAAGGGGATGCTCTGTCTCCAAAGGTTAGACGGACTGCTTCATAGACATCGATAGGTTTTGCGGGATCGAGATATCTCCATAACAGTCTGCGATACTTGCGGTCTTTCTCAGCGAGGACAACTTGAGAAAAAATTTTCTTGATGTCTGCTACTAGAGCGACGCGTCCTATTCTAAATCGGAGCAGTACCTGCAGGACATCTCGTTGAAGTTTAATCCCGGTGAGCATCGCTTCATCTAAGGAGACCCCTTGCATCGTGCCGCCGAGTCAAATACCATGCGTACTTTGGTAGTCTCTCTATCTTCTCTAATACGTGGAAAGTGTGGAAGGTATCAGGCTTGGACCGTCCTCTGCTTCATTAGGTTCCAACTTCCGCACGTAGCCCTTCTAGACATTGGCGTTCATTGCGTCCTTGTAACGACTCGCAACTTCCGGTTTCTTGAGGAGGGTTTTCTCCAGACAAAGCAAACGTTTCTCCGCTTCTTATCGATTATCAGGTAAGGAGGGGGTCTCTTCTTTCCAAGGAATGGCTACTTCGTAACGGCCCCCAGTCCATTTTCTTGAATTTTCAACCTTAGACATAGCTAAGATCTCCTCCTGGTTCAACTGATTGTCGTCAGAGTTTCTAACTCCAAGAGAGTCGATCTCCCACATTTCCCGTAGTTTTTCATCTAGACGGACTTCATGCAAGGTCTGGATACGAAAGTTTCTGGCGTAGGTTATCCTCTTTGCTGAACGAATGGAGGGTAAACGTCCGACATAAGTCCATCCCAATGGCGTTTTTCTTGCCACGGGCGTTCCAATTGGGCCGTAACATTCTCTTAATGCTAGCGTAAGTTCAGGATGATCTGATTCAATTAGAGTGTCGATCGTTTTCCTTCCAGGGGCTTTAGGAAATGGGATGTTCTTAAGGTGTTCCCATTTAATCTTGTGTTCATTCCAGTCTGGAATAGACAAGTCTTGACACATTTCATTCAGTGTCCATGCTTCCACAATAGCTTGAGCCTCCCCATCGATACTCTTTATCGTCAGCGAAACAGTCTTACCCGTAAGAGGAATACAACTGTCTGTCAAGGTTGTCAATGTGGGGGTTTGTGCTTTAGCCTTGAGGTCAAGGGCTGTCGCGATGTCATCTCGAACGTAGGTTGAATCTGACCCGTCGTCTAGGAAGGCATTCACTTGGACGCGCTGACCTTCTGAACCTATAAGCCAGACAGGAACCGTTCGCAATACAACATCCCCGGCGAGTTCAGAGTCGCTGAAGGCATTTCGTGTTTCTACAGCAGCGTCTACGCGTTCAGGTGGATTAGATCGACGTTCGAACTGTAGATGGAAGTGATGTTGCCTCTACAATCATTGATACCAGAGCGACTATTTTCCGGAAAATTCTTCCCTTGATGGCCTGATTTTAAGCAGCAATAACAAAGTTCGTTCTTTTTTGCGATTTCCCATCTACTCGCAGTGGATATTTCACTCCAATTCTTGCATGAGGTTACTTCGTGAGGAACCTGGCAGACAACACACTTGGGTGTGGGTTTTCTTGTAGCGTTGTGAACTGCTACTTTCTCACGCTTGTTTTTCCTTGTCTCGGTATTACTCTCTGTCTTTTTCTTTGTTTTCTCTTTAATTTCTCCGACTTCCGTAAGATGACAACTTGCTTCTGTAACCATTTAGAAAATAGGGATAGTCCATCCTTCCTGGGCCTCCTGTGTAACCATTCTTGGTACGTGATAAGAAGAGACTCTGCCAACTTTTGTTGTACCACAATGTAAAGTGCAGATACTCCTGCTTGCTCTTGATGTTGGTCGCTATCCTCAAGCTTAGCCACAATGTCAATTAAACGATCCGAGAAAATCTCCAACTCCTTCAAATTAGCCTCCTCGACAGGAGACGCGTGCAAAATGGCTTCGAGGTAACGTTGCAGAAGTCGCTCTTCACCTCCATTTTTCTGATCAAGTTTCTGCAGGGCAGTTTGGTAGTGTTTAGATGTGTAGCCTAACCGTTCTACAACTCGTAATGGCTTGCCAGTTAGGGAATTTTTCAACATCATCATCTTGGTTTTAGCTGGGGCTTTCATCCGATCCACAAATATTTCAAACTGCGCTTTCCAATCGTGATAAAGGTTTTTATCTCCACTGAAGACGGTTAAAGCGGGTTTTTTAATTCCTTTAAACAATCTATCGAAATCTTTCGAGTCGAGTCCGTCTTCGCTTGGTTCGTTTTCTTCATTTCCTTTAGTTTCTTCCGGGTCAAAGTCTTTAACGACGAGTTTAGGAGTTAACTTCTTCCCTTTGGAAAGTACCGAATTTGACAATTATTTGATGAACTTCTGTGTTGATTTAACCCCTTTCGAATCATCGGACGATTCCAAAGTCTGACTTCCTTTGTCATCAACTTCGCTAACTACATCAGTGGCCACGGAAGATTCTTCGCTTACGCGTGACGATTCATCTGTACAGCTTTCTAAATACTCTTCACTAGAGTCAACGATATCCTCCACTTCGTCTCGCAAATTGTCTAACCATTCTTCTGACTCTGCTCGTTTAGTCACATCATCGCTTTGTAAGGTAATTACGTCTTCCTTTGTTTTGCTCGCATCTTGTAATGCTTGAAGAATTCTTACCTTTACAGTTCGTAGCACCGTTTTGCTACCGTTCTTGCTAATATTATCCTTAGCTTTCTTTGAATTCTTCGTTACGACTCCTTTGAACGGTGCCCTCCTTCGAAGAAGATATTCGATTTGCCTGGAAGTCCATGTTTCGATTTCTACCTTGTCGATTTCCGAGGGCGTTTTGAATCCGCCATCGACTCCGTCTTTAAACGCCAATCGAAGGAAACGACCATACTAAATCCGGCTCGAAGGACCAAAATGTGTTTCGACAGGACCAAATTATGTTTTAAACGAAATTGGCGAAACCACAGCGACAGAAAAACTCATTGTCCAAAATCTGCGAGCGCTGAACAACGACTCTCTTTCTCTCACGACCTATTTGAATATATTTAGTAAAATTAAAATAAAAGCATGCGGTATTGCTCGGCCTTCCCAACGGACAGCGCCATGCTAATCAAAAGGCGTTCGTCGGAACACTCTTAACTCTTTCTATTTAATGAATTTAATGATCATTGAACAATAAGGGAGAAAATATCGCTATTTGTGATCTACAGATAATCTATTTAAAACGCCAACTTTTAAAACGGCACTTAAGACTTACCTTTTTCGTCGCCACTTCCGTGATGAGTAATGTCACCTTTGTAGTTTAAGTGTTTTAAATTTTATTGTTGTTATTGATAATTTGTCATTGTTATTATTTTTACTATTTATTGTAAGCGCATTGAGATTCTTAAATGCGTATTAAGAACGTTCATTATTATTATTATTATTATTTATGTGTATTCGCTATTTCAAGAGCATTGGTAAACTCACCAATTTGTCTGCATGTTTCTCCATTTCTATAATAGGTTGGCTTACAGGTGCATATGTAGGATCCCACAGTATTTGCACAATGAGTTTTGACATCGCAAGTGTGTGAGTCCTCGGCGCATTCATCAATGTCTGGAGACGAAGGGAGGGGAAGCATCAGGTTTTATAGGCTTTTACAAGCTCAAAAAGAAAGTTAGTAAATAAATTAGCTTTCGTATAAAGCTCAGCGGATGAATTCGAAGTAGCACCAGCTGATAAAATACATGGAAAGGCATGAGATAAAATTTCAACAATTTCGCAAGAAGTGGATCCTGAGTCAGTGTTATGGCGAGTAAAATATAAAGCGCTATCATCTCATTGCGTCATGCTTCCATCATCAGCTGGCTGCTGACAGACTTGTCAAATTCACCTTACGACTTGTAATGTATAAGGTTTCTTACCGATTTCACAATGTTTCCCAGTGTACCCTTTCGTGCAAACGCACACATAACTGTTCTTCTCGTAATGTGCTGTGCATGTCCCCTTGTTTTGACAGGGCCAACTGATACATGGAGACTAGAGGGATAAACGACAAAACTTCAGTTTAGTGCTCGCCTCCCATTCTTAGCTTGTGGTTGAAGAGGATTAAAAGTTTTATCGAAGTTTTTGCCTGAGAAAATCTTTCAATTGCTAATGAATTAAAGCAAGTGAATGTTACGATCACTTGCTTGTCCTATATAGCTTAAGAGCACGTTACATAATGTGAATTATCAGTTGCGTGAGAAGTTGGCAGGAGAAAGACAATACCAACCCTGTCATAGTGCTTCTAAGATTTTAAAGGAATTAAGTAAGATCTTTTTCGGGATTTCCCGTTTGTTTTTTGTTTACTTGTTTCCAGGCCGAGAGCATCCTCGGAAACTGGAAAAAGTCTCGGTAACAAAGATTATGCATCACTTTATTTTATACTCGAACCAAAAATGATGTAAAGGTATTTGGAGCTTCTGGTCAGAGATCTATCAATTGTTACATTGCTCCATGTCTACTTGTTCAAGTCATTCACTCTGCAATATCTAAATGGCATAGGAAAAGCTAAGATTACATAGAGGCTTTAATACTTTTAGGATTTAAACATTCGTCTCATGTTAAGTCCAATTTTATTGTTAAAATTATTTTTATTACTGTGAAAATTTCGATTTCCAACTTACTGTGATACTAAAGTGATGGTGACTGTGATTGGCGACAAACTTTTCCGAGTTGTTGTAAATGTCCGATGGAAGTAATTCACACAGTAATTTACCAATGACATCTTGAAGTGCAGCCAGGTTGAAGGAGAAGCATAAAGGTATGTTGACACAAGCCAGTCCACACTCACTGCCTTTCATAACATAATCTGAACCAATGTTGCTGATGTTTAGGTAAGAAAACTTGTGAGCCTTAAATTTGGCATAAGCCATTCCTTTGTCTGTGCCTCGACTGAGAGTTTTACCCCGTACATCAACGACTGTTGTGGAGAAAAATGGAAATACAAAAACTAATATCAAAACCACAGACAAAAACCTTGAAAATTATCTGAATACACACACTATTCCTGGGTCCTCAAGATCTATGAACTCTATTCGAACCGAGAGGAGAAAAAATGTAATACTGCTATTTATTACACGACTCGTGCAGTCAAAGGGCCAATAACTAAAATCAGTCAATCAAAATGCCCTACTGCCGGTCCAATATTCTCTAAGTATTGGACCGGGCACTCTCCCGAATGGTCCCGAATGACACTGCACTTGTGTCCCTTTGAACTTCAGTCGTATCATAAATCTCTTATTAACCAAGCTTGCTCGGGACCGTACTGGAAGAATATCGGCCCTTGGTCTTTTTTGCACGGACCTCGCTGCGCTCGGTCCGTACTGTCAAGACCTCGGACCGATATTCTCTCAGTACGGCCCTCGTGCTTGGTTAATAAGATATATATATACTGGTGGGAATTATCTCACAAGAAATAGAACTACTACAACGGATTTTGCGTAATTGTTTTAGCTAGCTGAACGATTGGCTATCAGGTTTTTTATTAAAGCATGAAGTTCTCTAGCTACGGCTTTTCCAATGAAACTCTAAATATCTGTAACGAGGTATTCATATATCTGAGGCAGAAAGGTTTAAAATTAGATTATTTGTTGGGAACATAACAATTAAGCTCCTTGCTAAAGATAGTTTGCAAAGACAAACTCATTCCTCTGATAGTAGTCAAGAGAAGTTGAAGCTGATGTTCTGATATATTCTGTATTCATTTTCCCCAACAAACTGATTAGACCCTATGTAAAATTTCTAGAAACTGTGCTCTCTTGACTTGCTTTTGCCAGGCATTGAGTGCTAATATGGAGAGAAACCGTACTCTTTATAGCCTCATTCTATCTGCTGAAAAAAAACATCTTCACCTACAGAGGAGAGCGACATCGTTTGATGGTGTGGCAAATCTGAACGCAAAGTAAACAAAAAATAAGAAGCAAATGACGAAACTGCTGTTGGGGCGTTCACATGTGTGTATACGAAGTTCTCATTCTAGCTTCCGTGGGAGCTAACCTCCTTTCCTCATCATGGGCGAGTTCGAGGCTGGAAGTTATCGTTGAGAAGATCACAATCATCTCAAAAAAATACCAGGCAAACATGATAATCTGTTCTTTTTGTTTTGAAACAAGGCTTTTAAAAGACCTAGTGAGTATCGTTAAGTGGTATCAAGATATTAAAATCTAGGAATTATTTCCAAAATTAAAGAAACTGCTATGCACATACAAAAGACCCGTCAAATGACGATGTTTTGATTTTCATCCACTATTCTATCATCATAAGATGAGAGAAATTTTAAAAACAATTTATTTTTTTGGAAAGAATAACCTTTCGTGCCATTCAAGACATCATTTATTGTTGTCATGGAAACCTTATTTCGCTAAACTTAACCAAAATATAGAAGGTTGGATGCATGAATTGATGTTACACGATGGAAACCCCTCAGAATGGGATGTTATTTTCAACGATTTCCCATTCAAGATATGTATTATTCAATCTTCTAAAACGATATTTTATGCTACTCGCAGACATTGCTTATAGTTACTTTAAGTGAAGCTCAATTAGGAAACAATCGGCCTCTATTGCAGGTTTTTTATTCTCTTGTTTAAGTTTCTTCAATAAACACATTAGCTGCGGCATTTTTCGTGGCTGTTTTTCCCTTTTGATCGCCTTTTGTGATGAGGTTTTCTGCGTGCAAAGTTACTGCTGTGCAGTTCAAGAGAGGCTCGCAGAGATATTACAATGTTACACAAGGCTTTGTATATTTCTGCAGGGAAAGAAACTTACTTTATTAGAAAAAACACAGCTTGAAAGATAGAATTTCTTTCACTCTTTGTTTAGGAGTTAAAAACATGCGTAGATGTTTTCTAAATACTAATTAAAAAGTATGAATAATAGATGAGTGTTCTTTTCAGCATTCTATATAATTTTCTGTCGATATCAACTTTGCATATATAAAGATATATTTTGACCTTAAGAAAATAACACACCTTCTGTGAGGAACAATTGGGAGCATTTCTCATTTCTTTTAAGTATGAATAATTGAAACAGTTGTATTTAAATACTCGTGAAATTGGTGTTGTTAAAACCAAGAACGATAGGCGGTGCATCTCAAATTTTAGCAAGTTCAGTTTGAACAAATTCATTTGCTTGGGAAAAGCTTTATCGATGTGAAAAGCTTTATCAGATGCAAAAAGTCACCGTCCTTAGATAATTTATTCCAGTCTTGCGGTGAAAATATATATAACTTGATTCTTCTCTTTTTCTCTAGAAGTCACTGATGTCGTACGTTTTTGCTTTCTTTTCTCGTGTAAATCATGATTTATAAGCACAAGTTTATGTAAGCTCCACACAATAATCTGCAGAGTTTTTGATGATTATTAATAATAAAAATCAATTTTTTCTCCTACATCTCTGCAATTTTTATTTCACCCATCAGTTATCTGATGTACCAGTTGCATTGTTTAAAGGAACTCCTTCCAAACGAAGAGAAACTCGCCTGAAAAGTTGTTGACAAAAAAATTTGTACGATTTTCCTTATGGCCAGTTTCTAAAAAATATAGTTTGGCCACGAATTTTCTAATAAATTCTCCTAAATGTTCCGATCGTCTTTTTTCACAAGCTTCGAAAAGCTATTTTCTTTTAAGCCAAAAGCAAACATTGTCGAGCTGAGGTTCCTGCGAAGTTTAATTCATATTCCTAGTTGACGGTTTAAAATATTTTCTTCGCTTAAAATTTGTTTGATCAATACTTCGAAATTCTAGACATTAAAATGCTGTTCACCCTGATCGACTATTGCTTACTGAATTATCGCAGTCCTGTTAGTCATTTAAGACATGAGTCTGTCTAAACAGACTCATCTCGAAATCAAAAGGAGACTCGCCCAGTCGTATTCCTTTTGTCACCTAAAAACTTTAAATAGGTTCTAGTTCACCAATTTTGTTATCATTCGTCCAAGAAGGTTCTATTCTTGGCACCTTGTCCTTATTGCTAGGATCGTTTCAAGGAATATTACTGAGGTTGGCAAAAAGTCTAGAATAAAACCATAACATTTTATTAATGTTTATCGTGTATTGTTCTTTGAGTCTAAAAGCTTTCATTCGCGATTCATCACGTAAGAAAAATCAAGAGCAAAGGATTACACTTTGTCTTGAAACGTGTTTTAAGTCTACAGTTGTCTGATGAAATACAACATAAAAGTTTTAAAACTGGGCATTAACCCCTTCAAATATGGTGTGGACAAACTAAACCAAGCTAAGTTACCGTTGTTCGCTCAGAAACGTGCTTTAAAAAAGTCATCTTCTTCACATCCTTGTGATTTCAGTTTGGCTGTCAATCGAGAATAAGTCGACAATTTCTCTCACCTGGCAGCTTATATAGTCCAAATTTAAAGTCAAATTACCGAACTGAAACTATAATAGTAAACGAATCTGAACCGAAGTAATGGAAAGTTTGTGAATATAAATCAATACAAATAAGCTGTCCTCCACTATAGATACAGAGATAGGAAACATACCACGGTCTGCGAATGTCAAGCCACCAAACATGAGAAAAAGAAAAAGAAGCGAATGCACTGGAAAGTGACAGCGCTTCATTTCTAGACACAGATCAGGAGGAAAGTCCTCAATCCTTCTTCTTAGACTGGTTTACGTTGTAAAAGACATCGCAGTGACATACGACACGATGTTTTCACCATCCGTCAGTTTTTCTGTCTTGCAATTTAGTTCTTATTGACTAAAACGGCGACTTTTTACGTCATCCTTGTTAATAACTAATAATAGGGCTGTGAGACATAAAGGATGTCCACCTTATTAAAGTTGTCCCCTGGAACTGTTTACAAAGTTATTTCTGCGTTTGACGAATAAACTTTTAGTCTTTCGTAGTCTCGAGTTATTTTTTTAATCATTTTCTACAAAATATCCTTAGAATTCAAAAATGATAAAAGTATAAAGAAAAAGAAAAAAAAAAAAATAAAATAGGGTACATAGGAAAAGTTAAAGTTACTGCAGATTTTTATTACGATTTTTTTATTTCAAAACTTTCATTTTGGTTCCAGAGAATATCATTCCCCTGGATATGCAAATTATCATCTCTCAGTTAGACCTTACTATGATAGATAGCTATCATTTCTCCTTATGTGTACTGTCCTGAGGTCAAAACATTTCTGTAAGTTTAATAAACTAACTTTGCAAACACAAATTGAATTATTGAAGTGTTTTGTTCTTGCCGTTCGCCTAGAAATTACTAGTTACATAATTTTTGCCTCGCTTAGGCCTCCGACGTGTTTGAAGAAGAAAGAAAAGTCGTTTCAACCAAATAACAAATACAGTGCCGGACAAGAGCATGGTGATGCTAACCATAATATCGACGTTTATCACGTTATCGATTGTTTCGATATCCCAGAAGGTTATTGTTTTAATGGTCGATATTTCGTCAAACCCTTTGAAAACAAATACAGTGAGCGATATCGTCTTAGTATGCACTGAAACAGTGGATAGTGATAAAGGCGCGCTCTGATTGGTTGCTCAAACTCCGAATATCTTTTACTATTCATCTCCGCAAATGTTACGCCCCAAAATATTGTAATCGTTGCCTGTACAGGTAAGTGTACACTAAAACAACTTTTCACCGAAGTGTCAGTAACTAGTGGTGGATATTGCACTCACCTCGGCTTAGTAAATAATCACCCTACCTCGGCTTCGCTGAATAGTTTAATTATCTTACAGCTGGCAGCGCCCATGCCCCACATGGGAATGAATCATTCAATACATACTCACTCATACTGAGCTGTACACCTTGAAGTACGAATCGTTCGTATCTCTGATTGGACGAACGATGTATTCCCACAGTCGCTCACTTCCAATCTTTGACATGCGTCGTAAATAAAGATCGTTCGAGCGCACTTTCCACAGAATAACCTATAATTGTGTGAACATCGTGTTCTGATTGGTCACCTAAGCGGTCAAGATGAATAATCTTGCCCTCTCGGGATCGTCTGCTTTGATTCCGAGCCGGGAAAAATATTACGTGGAACAGACTTGTACCAGTTCCTTATTTGGAAGTAGAAGAGGGGTCGACATCAAGATTTGAAACTAAACCACTTTTAAATTACAAGGGTGACAGAAATTTTGAAAGCTCGAAAATTAATCTAAAGCTTTATTTGTTTTAGTTTTATAACCTTATGTTGCTTTGCACGTGAAGAGGCACAAACGTCTCACTCCGTAAAAGTGTTTCCTAAAAATAGTAAATGTGAGCTTTAAAAATGTTGTTACTCATGTGTCTTGGCTACATTCTATTGTCTTGGCTACATTTTATTGTCTTGTTTTGGATAATTCTTTCAAATTACATTATCTTACTTTTTTTTTTTGTGAAATTTGTCCTAGTAAGATGTCAGCGATCACGGATGATTTCGGTCAACCAACTACAGCATGAGAGACCAAACCCCTAAAGGACCAGATGGATGAAATTTATTTATTTTTGTTTATTTATTTACAAGATTTTCCGACAGGCAGGGACACCGCAACAGCTTTGCGCCAATCACTGCGGGCCCAGTAACCCACCCATCCCACCCCAGGGGTGGACATCTATCACACAGTAATCTCGTGCGTGGAAAATTAACGTCTCCTACCCCTAATCCAGCAGGAGACGGGACCTCCATATACCGTGCGCAATATAACATTGAATTTCTCTTTTCAGTGTCTTTCCAAAAACATTTAATATTTTGAAAGTATGATTTTCAGCTAGGTAACTTGGGATGCTACATACAGAGTTTTGTATAGGAACCACAAAACATAATATCTCAAAAAATTGAGCAAAGGGTATCAAGCCAAGAGAGCTAGATTCCTTTTACACACGAGAAGTGTTTTCAGCTTCAGTTGATGGACAAGGCAATACATTTGAGGAGGACCTCACCATCCTTTTCTTCACTCATCAAAGCATTTGACAGCATGGACTCCTGGAAAGATAGCAACACAAATTTTGCTTAGATGCCCAATTCAAAACATTTTCCTTTTATTACTTTAAATTGTTCTTACAGTGCACATACAAATAAGCAAGTGACTAGTAACTGGTGCACTTGTGATACAGAGTGTAACTTCCCATTCCATTAAGGGAGCTTCAGAGCTTCAGGCAGACACCTATGCTTGGACAACAAAGTTAATTACCGGTACTGAAAATTGTGAAAAGGTCAGCTACTAACTGACAGAAGATGTAATTTCAAGTACTGGGTATATTTACAATAAACATATTCATGAGCTGTAAGCCATGGATAAATGTGAGTAGTCTAACTTACGTAATCATGCTGTTAATCTTAGAGTAGATATTATGTCCTGCCAGCCCCAGAATTTCTCAGTAAACACTTAGTCTAGTAAATAATTGTGAAAAACTAAAAAACAAGGGCATTAAAACTGTAAATAATAATGTATAAAGCTATTTAAAGAGAGGATGTCATAAGAAAGTGCAAAAAGGCGTGCAACAACCCCAAAAGGTGTTGTGAGTAGTTTTTAGGTAACAGTTCCTTGATCTCATATTTTCAAGGAAATCTGAGAATAAATTATGTTACTGAATGAAGTATTTACAGATTTGATGAATTTATTTAAATAGTTTATTTTACTCGCTGAAATTCATGGATTACTGGAGACCCCAGCCAGACCGCACTGCAAGATTTTCCCATGCACTTTCATCCTTAGCAGTCAACCTCCACAGAAACAGCTGTATACTGGCCAACACTTACTGCTATCATTATGTCTTGTTTAGAGACAAATGGAAGTCTAGTTGACCTCAAAACACAGAGTTGTAATTTTTGTAATTTACGTTGGCACTGTTTTCACGATGATTATCATCATCAATATCTGTGATTAACATAACCATTCTTTATGACCTCGAGCAACATAGTAGCTTGTTATCATGCTCTAAGTAAACATCCACATTGTCATGGTTACAAGACCGCCTGCATGACCTCTATAGGGAAGAAACTAAAAGCGATGGGGTAGAAACTTATGGAGTACGGGGGGTGATACAAAAACAAGTATACGTACATTTAGTTGTTGAATTTTGCAAAGATCTACCCAAAAGAGAGTCCGTGCATTGAACAAATTAGATCTCTGGCAGGAAAAAATTTAATTCACTCACATGAACAGAAAATCTTTCCTACTCCAACCCATAGCAGAGGATCCAGAGGCAATTTACTTCTCTAAAAATCTCTATTCAAATTTATCAAATTGCCGTTTGAAAATAACAAATAAGATGTTAGACAGCTGTTTTCACTATACATAAACGTGGCATTTGTATTCAAATTAATTTGGAATTATTACTGAAATCATACCAGTTATTTCACAATCGAACAAGCCCACTGCACAAGTTTGATTTCAAATTACCAGTATGTTTCCAGACCAAAATTGCACGAGATGAAGTTCAGTGACAGCTTTATTTAACATCGATTGTGAAAGCGCAAAATTCAGTCCTTCAAATACAGGATGTTTTATTCAGTGCAAATATTTCATGATTCAGTGCCGAGTTGGTTTGTAAAAAGGTGTAAAAGTTGTTTTTTTATTTCCCTCTACATGTCAAGTAATTTGATTCATTACTTTGAACAAGCCTTGAAATCTGGATCGGTTCGATACAAAGCTTTAATAAAGGTTTGTCATAGGCTGGGAAAAAGATGGGATTTAGAATAACAAAATGGTGCAATTTGTGAATAAATTACACTAAAGAGAGCCAGTCAGATTGCAAAAACTGTCATTGGTTTAATAATTGGTTTTAAACATTATCAATACCTTTTCTAATATAATCTGCCTTCATTTATCTTATAGCAGGCAATAAAACCAATCATGTTGCTTAAAACTGCAGTTTTAACCAATGAAATAGGATATAACAAAATATGAGATTGATAGAGTGATATTTACTTGATATTAAATTCTTAATAATGCTTTGCACCCTCACATGAGACTGATACAGTGATATTTACCTGATATTAAATTGTTAATAATGCTTTCCAGCCTCACATCAGTGTTGTTAGTTAGTCTTAGCACTGCCAAATAAAAGGGTTTCCTTTTATTTGGTAGTGTTAGGACGTTAAGCTGAAACACAGCAAAACGGCCTCAAATCGCGACAAGAACAGCACAGACTACTCTTTATGAAGGTAAGACTTTATTTCTTTGATTATTTCACACAACTTTATATTTTCGGAGCTTAAAAGCAAGTCCAACTAAACCACTATACAAACTCTATAATAATCCACCGTGACGGAGCCTGTGACAGAGCCTGGGCCGCCGTTGAAGAATGCGACAAGGCAGGCAGCTTAGGCCTCCAGATCCCACACCACCTCGTATTCGAGAAAAAAATGTTTTACCTTCTAGGTCTTATTTTCCCACCGAAATTCAATAGGCCACAGAAGGATTATCCAGCTGTTACGGTGAATCTGTTTTGAATCATTCCATTCAACGGTTTACGAGAAAATGGAAAGCAAATTCGTAGATTTGGAGCTCTTCCAGGGATCCGGACATAAGGGGTACTCAAAGGAATTCCAAACATGCGTTTCGGTTATCGAATTTCGGACCCAGCCACCCTACCCGAGGTACAAAAATGTGAAAAATGTGAAAAATTGTATTCCCTGTCGGGGGCCCTAAAGGCGCTACTTTGTACTTCCGGTGCATGTCGT